GAGTTGATCACTTGATTTTAATAGTGTGTGACCCTGTGTGACCCCCTTATGATATTCATGAATACAAACCCTAGAGCAGGGACAATGATTTTCTGCAGTGATGAAACACTAATTCCATCCGTGCTAAAAACAAATTCCACATGCATGCCGTGCATAATTTCCATTATCCCTTAAATGGTCAAAGTATTCTTTAGTAGTAACACAAAATAATTTTTTGATCACGATCTTGCATTCTTATTGGCCAATTTAATGATCTGATGATCTGCAAAGTAAAAATAGTCAATCGACCAACTTTTAAGGATTATTTTACGAAAACCACAAGGACAACAACTGAATTTTTATTCACAGATCAATCAGCTGAATCTCAAAGATCATTTTCATATTAGGAAGTAATACCTTCAGAAAAAGTTTTTTATAACAGAAAAAAAATTTCAGCTATCAATAGCCGAAAAACCATTTAAGGGATAATATTTATGCATTCTGCAGTAATTCTGCAGTTTATTTTTTTTCAAAAAAAAAAAAAAAGAATTTATAGTTAAACAATTTGGTGGTGTGCAATCAGAAAGAATAGTTATGCAAACATTTGTTATTTATTTATTGTTATTTTTTCTTTAATATTTAAAATATACTGCCATTAAAATAAAGCATATTTAAGCTTTGTAAAGACTCTTCAGATAAATTTTGTTGATTATCATCTAAAATTGAATTATATTTGGAAAAGCTTCGTTCTACACTACAAGAAGAAATTGGTAACCAAATATATTCAAATGCTATTTGAGATAAAAGGGGCAAATTTTTGGCCATATTTGACCAATATTTATCTAATGCTAATGAAACTTTTATATTAAACATGGATCCACAATAAATAGCCCATTCATCTAATAAATCATTAGATGGATTATTGAATTCTTTAATGATATTATATTGACATATATCTCTTTGTGTTAAATCAATAAATTGAATAAATTTTGGATCAAACATTTGACATGCACGAAAAAGAGGATGTCCAGGATGAGAGGGAATATGTGCTTATTAATTGTCATCTCCAGTTTTATTTTATACATATGTTTATATAGTGACAATGGAAAACAATAGTAAAAAAAGAGAAAGGTATTATTTATTATAAGCAAATAAATATAAGTTCTATATTTTTGTTGATTTTTTTTATTTATTGTAGGATTCCACAGTGGATACAATACATGCAAACCAACAATTCTTCTTTAGAAAAATTTAAAAGAGCAAATGGTGGATACATGCTTCATGATATATCAAAACCACACAAGATTCTTAGTATTCATGCTGAATTACAAATAAATGAGGAGGATCATTCTAAAAATCCATATTATCGTAATGTTACAAAAAGAGATATATCAATTGCTCCATTGGTTCCTTTACTTCCTGGACATTGTGTTATTGGAAAGTTTGGTGAGTTATATATTTATCTAGAAATTCAAAGTAATAATGAATACCTTACATATCATTGGAAAATTTATAATAATGTGGAAATGACATGAAGAAACAAACCCTGATTTTTTTGCTAGCATGAAGAAATACATAAATTGGACAGGGAATTTTTCTATTCCAGACATTCTTGGATTTGGTAACCCTGATATTATACATGATCTACAATCCAAAGTCAATTCAATTTACCCAAATATTTTTGAAACTTCTGTTGCATTGACAAAATCTCAAAACAAAATGGTAAAGCTAACTGCAACTATGCAAAAAAAAGGTGAAAAATTAATTGCAAAGGAAAGAAATTCATCAATAATTTCACAAGATCCAATAATTTGTCAAGGAATAGAAATTAAAGAAACAGGTGTAAACTTATCTTCAGAAGCAACTTTAGCTCTTGCAATTGATTATGAATCTTCAAAAAAATCAAGTGATGCATTACATAAAAGATTCAAACATGCTAAAGCTGACCTTGAATATGCAAAGAATTTAAAATATAATCAGTATGAAAAAAAAAATAAGGATTCATTGAAAGATTGGGTGCAAAAAACTATAGAAGAAAATAAAGTTGGATCAACAATATTAATTAATACTGAACAATATCTCACCAACATATTTATTCAACCTTGTTTAACATGCCATAACCTTGATCTGTCTAAAAAGAAGCTGAAAGTTAATAAAATTGGCTATAATCTTCAAATTACAATCAATTGTAAATGTGTCAAGGAATTACTGAATATAATAATGAGTCACCTGGTACAAAATTTTCTTTACTTGCAGCAGGAGCAGGTGTTAATAGGAGACAACTTCAAACCATTTTTTCTATGATGGGAGTCATTATTCTGATAAACAAAATGAATATTTGAAAAGCATAAAAAATGAAGCTGAAGTTGGTGCACAAATTGCTTTAACAAAAGCTATTGCATATATCAAAGCAAAAGGAGAAAGAATACTTACTTCCTGCTAGTTTTGATTGTTCCTGGTCACATTGTCGAAATGCAAATCAAGCTAATATTTCAGGGAAATTTAGAAGGTAATACAATATTATTAATTGGTTAGAATTGCTAATTAAAAGTCTTTTTTACAAATAGATTATGACCACAAACCTGTTATTGCTTTTTCTACTGCTGAAAAACCACATCAGTTGAAAAATAAAGAGCAATCATCACGTCAGATGGAACATGCAATATTGTTACAAATTATTGAAAAAATATCACCAGTATTGGAAGAAGCTGAAGTACTCTTGGATATTTGTGTAGATGGTGACCTAAACTCAAATAAAACTTTAAAT